TGTGCCCAGTGTGGGCATTCCGGGCACTCCAAGCCAGGACTGGTTTTCAAGCGGGGCACCCCTGAGAACTGTCTGTCCGGGGTGGGGGTCGGGTCCCTTTAAGCGCAGCCCTCGGCTAGCTTAAGGCAGCATCTCCATGCTCTAAGTCCTCCTCTGATGCCCTGCCGGCATTGCTTCCAGCCATCCTTAAGCCTTGTTCAGGGTCCACTCAATGTGGACATGCTAGTTCGAATTAGCAAAACGCTAATTCGAACTAGTTTTTAGTTCTAGACGTGTTAGTTCGAATTAGCTTAGTTCGAATTAACTAATTCGAACTAAGTTAGTTCGAACTAACTCTGTAGTGTAGACATACCCTCCGTGTGGTAGGGCATGGAACAGCTTGTTCACTTGTCTGCAGATGAAGTGGGAATCTTGCCTGCACAGCTCCATGAAGCTCCCACGTAGAAACTCTTTGATCCTCCTCACAAAGTTTTTGGAGAGGACAAACTTATTCAGTCCTCCATGATAGGACACCTTCTCACACCAAGCCAACAGTAAGTGGTCTGCTATCATTGAACTACAAAGCAGTGCAGCATAAGGCTCAGGTTTATGGCCACATTCACTCAGCATTCACCTCCTATCACTTGCTGTGACTCGGAGAAGACTAATATCTTGCATGACAACCTGTAGGGAGAGGCTTTCTACATCAATATTCCACATGAAGATAGATTACAAGTGATTAGAAACACTATTCCAGAGGATACTACAGCCAATCTGGTAGCAGACCTATGTAACTTTGTTCTTACCCACAATTATTTCCAATTTGGGGACAACTTATACCTCCAGATCAGCGGCACACCTATGGGTACCCGCATGGCCCATAGTACACTAACATCTTTATGGCTGACAACATTTCCTCAGATCCTGTCCCCTTTTACCCCTCCTTTACTTACACTACATTGATGACATCTTTATGGCCAAGAAACACTGGACACATTCCACAGAGGCTTTAACCATCAATCTCAGCCTGGACCATTCAACATGAGAGATCCATTTCCTGGACACCACAGTACAAATCACTAATGGAAAATTAAATGCCGCTCTCTACAGAAAACCCACTGACTGCTACACTTACCTACATGCCTCCAGCTTCCATCCAGGACCCACCTTATGATCCATCGTCTATAGTCAAGCCCTTAGGTACAGCCGCATCTGCTCTAATCCCACTGACAGAGACCAGAAACTTTAAGATCTCTACCAAGCATTTGTAAATCTCAATGACCCACCGGAGGAAATAAAAAAACAAATTGAAAGAGCCAGACGAATACCCAGAAACCATCTACTTCAAGACAGACTCAAGAAAACCAACAATAGAACACCACTTGTCATCACCACTACCCCAACTTAAACCCCTCCAACACATTATCAATAACCTACAACCAATAATGGAACAGGATACTACACTCGGAGAGGCTCTGGGGGACTGACCCATAGTCTCCTATAGACAACCACCTAACCTCAGGAAGATTCTTAGCAACAACCACAGGACATACCACATTCATACCAATCCTGGAACTTTCTCTTGCAACAAACCCCATTGCTAACTTTGTCCACAGATTTACTCTGGTGACACCATCACTGGACCTAACCATGTCAGTTATATGATCAAAAACACATATTCCTGTTCATCCAGAAATACAATTTACACCATCACGTGCCAACCGTGTCCTTCTGCTATGTATATTGTACAGACTTCTCAGACACTTTGCCAAAGAATTAATGCCCACAAATCAGATATCAGACATCTTCACAAGGAAAAACCAGTTGCTTTTCATTTCAACCTACCTGGACATAATCTTAGTGACCTTACTACATCTTACTTCAAAGAGACTTTAACACCAGATTACAGAGGGAAAATTCAGAACTTTCTTTCATGCTTAAATTTTACACTTTATGAATGGGCCTTAACCAATATGCTAATTTCCTTAACCATTACAAAGATAGCTTCCCCACTTATCACCCCTGATTGACTCATAAATAGCTATTCCCTCCCTCTCTCTCCCTCACCCCATCTTCTGTTGTCAGTTTAATAAAGTGTTCACTTTTTTCATTGTATTTTTTTGGTATATATATGGTCATGCCAATTCTCTTCCAGAATATGATCTGAGGAAGTGGGTCTGGCCCACAAAAGCTCATCACCTATTAAACCATCTTGTTAGTCTTTAAAGTGCTACATAGCTTTTCCTTTTGTTTTAGAGGGAGGGAGAAATGGACCCTATTAATACTCTCTCCAGGAGGTCATAAGCACCGCTCACACATTTCCTCCACCCCTGTATACTAAGAAAGTAGCAGCATCCTGGTAGGCTTCATGTACTGGACCCAGCATGTGTCAAACACAGCAGGAAGCCACCCTCTGCCACCACCTCCCGCCCACCTGCAGGATCCTGATCTGACTGGCTCCTCAGCATGCCTGCCTGCCTCCAGACTGAGTGTGTTCCAATGCTCCCCTAGGACATCTGGGCACCTGCTGTAAAGTGCCCATTTAAAGCAAACATTTGGCCTTGCAAGGAACACTTCTCCATTGTATTCACAGAGACCTTCAGTGTACACTAAGCGATTAGAGTTAGGCTTCACACCCTGTATGTCCTATAATATCTGTCCTTGTAACTTTTCTTTGCTAGCTGAGACGGCTGCCAACTCCATGTGTCCTCCACTTCTTCCAGCATCTACCTTCCTGGCTCACATCTGCAGGTGCAAACACATGTGGGGGGCAATGGACTGCCTTTACACCCTTGTGGTGGAGAGCCAGGCAGAGCAGCAGGACCAGATCGCAGAGTGGCAGGACTGGATCACGGAGCAGCAGGAGAGCAGAGCCATCTGGGAGCAGCTCACAAGATAGCATGAGACCATGTTTTCCTCCCTAACTGCTGTCATGGAGCAAATGGTGTCCTGCCTGGAGAATGCCACCTCCCAGAACCCTGCCCACCCTATGGCTTCCACCCCCAGGGTCTGCCGGGCCCCCAGGACACAGGGTGGGGATCTCAAGAGCAGCTGGAGCCTCCAGGTCTTCAGGGGGCAGAAAGCAGTCCCACTCACATTCCTGAACCCCCTCTCCCTTCCAGTTCTTAGCTCATTCCTTACCTTCTTGTTTTTTTCCCCAAATAAAAACTCCTGAACTGTAGTGGTGGAGTGGGGTAGGAAGAGGGATTAAAGGGAAACACGGGAAATGCAGCAGCACCTTGTGGAGAGCTTCATGGCAGTCTCAAAAGAGGTCTTGCAGAAAACTGTCCTTTATGGCCTCTCTGATTTGCACTACCCCTTGCTGTGCTCTAATTATGGCCCTGGTATCCTGCTGCTCAGACTCTCTGGCTAGGCACTCTGTCTCATCCCTCCACCCTGCCAGGGAAGTTTCTCCATTGTTCTTGCATAGGTTTTAGACCACACAACAAGCTGACACCATGCAGGGAATATTACATTCGCTTAGGTTCAAGCTCCCAAATCTCCCCTTGAAATGTACAAATGCACATTCCATCATCATTCTGCACCTGCTCATCCTGTTGTTGAACTCCTCCGTCTCTGCTGGGGTCCAGACTGCCTGTATACGGCTTCATGAGCCAGGGGAGCAAGGGGTAGGCTGAGTTACCAAAGACCACTATTGGCAAGTCCAGCTCTCCAACTCTGACTCTCCAGTCAGAGAAAGAAAGTGTCAATGTGCATGTTTTGGATGAGGGTTCTGTAGTGGCCTACGGGCTAGGGCATTAGCCTAGGGACCCTAGAATTGTGGGTTTGAGCCCCACCCACTCATGAGCATCATCACAGCCAGTGCTAGATAAGGGGCACTCTGAAGGCAGGGAAGTAGGGTGGATTCTGGATTGGGAAAGGGCATTCACCTGGGGACCCTAGGGTTGTGGGTTCATGCACCCATCCCACATTGATGTTAGTGAAGTGGCCCTTGTGATCCAATGCCATCCCACCAGACTGAGCTTCTCTCCTGACACCAGAATCAGTACTGTACTGTGTCCAGAGGATTGACTAGCAGCTGGTGGAGTAATATACATATGCTCTCATTGGACAGTCCCACAAAATGCACCACATGAAAATGCTTTCCTGCACACTGGGTTACATGCTTGCATTGCTCAGTATTCACCCAGGTGCACCAAAAGCTATGAACTCACTACCTCCCCTTTATGTCACATGAGGGTGGAGGGACTAGAGAAGTGCCTTATGGGACACTAATGACAGGAGCCTCTCTAACCACCCACTGCTGAGTTTTGGACCCAGAGGACACTGGAAGCATAGCCCAGGCTGTTAAGTTAGCTATGATGCGTTGATCTGAGTCAACAACAGGCTCCATAATGGGCCAAGCTACTTTGGAAAACATTCGATTCTTGCCTGTAGTGAGGACACGGACCTTCATCTTCTCAAAATCAAGTGCCATAGTTTATTCGCCATAGTCAAAGAAGCAGGGATTTAAATAATCCCTGCTTCATTAAAATAAAAATGGACTCCGCGCTGTGCCGACGATCAGCTGATCCGGCACAGCGCAGCAGTCTAGACACGGTGCAGTCGACAAGGGAAACGAGGTTTACCAGAGCGGTTGACAAAGGCTTCCCTTGTCAACCGTGCCACGTCTAGACTGCCACACTTTACTGGATCAGCTGATTGTCGACACAGTTCGGTGGTCATTTTTATTTTAATGAAGTGAGAATTATTTAAATCCCTGCTTCTTTGACTATGGCGAATAAACTATTTTACATGGCTCCGTCAACGGAGCCATGTAGTCTAGACATAGCCATAGTGTAGTTGTGCCCTTAGAAAGTAATAATCAAATAATTAATTTAGCAGAACGCTACAATGAAAATGTAGAAGTCAGTTTGTAGTACTTTTTCTTTAAAGGTGCTATGCAAGCCAGACCTGGATTCTGAGATTTGCACATTATATTTTCATGTAGAGCACAATGTTTTGCTCATGTTTTGGTGATGTTTTTAGACTAAAGCAGGGCAGACAAAAGACAATGTTGAGATATTTATTTTTTTGAAGGAGATATTATTTTGAAGAGTTTGCTTTCAGATCTTAGACTGCATACTAGCTTCATTCAAAAAATATAATAGATTTTTCCTGACCTTTTCTTTAAAAAGAAAAAACAGAACAAAACAAAACATACTGTCTTGTTTCTTTGAAGCTTATAGTTGTTTATAAAAAGCAGATTGGATACTTCGCAGCAAGCCCCATCGGCCTCTGGCTTTCTCATGCACATTCGGAGTAACCACCTGGAATTGGGAAAAAGAACAAAGTTCAGGGTAAGGATATATGTAAAGTACATATCATTTGCAAGGAATTGGTAGAGAAAAAAGTGTTTCAAAATGTGATCTACATACTCAGTGGAGGGAACTCAAGGTCAGATTTTCAGCTTAGCTAAGCTTCCACAACAGAAGGCAGATTTTCAGAATGCCCACCTGCCATGTATGGTCAGTTTTATAAAAGAACCCATTGTGTGGACATTCTAATCACTTTATGGCCTAAATAGAGGCTGATCTTTTTTTTTTGAAAATGTGGCCTTCAGGGCAAGAGGAAAGTAAGAACCATCAGCAGTAGATGGCTGCTGTTTGATTCTCTATATACAATGTATACAATGACATGACTTGAGAAATGTACCTAGCAGCACTCCTTAAATGCCAGTAGCAGATCACCTAGGCTATGTCTACACTGTCCCTCTCTTGCGGAAAAATGTATGCAAATGAAGCAAAGAGTGGAATATCGCCATGCCTCATTTGCATAATTAATGAGGCTCCATTTTGGTCAAAAGGCTGTGTACACTCCTTCTTTTTGCACAAAACTCCCCTCTTGCTCAAGAGCCGTTCTTCCGGAAAAAAATGCAACATTCCACACTTGGTCTCATTTGCATATGCTTTTCCGCAAGACAGGGGCAGTGTAGAAATTGCACTAGAGAGAGATTTTTAAAAGCACTTAGGCACAGATCTCCAAAGATATTTAGGCACTTAGTGAAGTCTGTATCAGCTAAGAATCCAAATGCCTTTGAGGCTGTGAGCCCTTTGGCATTTAGGAGCACAAATTCTATAGAAAGTCACTGAGATTTGTGCTCCTAAATCCTATAGGTGCTTTTGAAAAGACATGTCCCCTATTTCTTGGTGGACAAGTGTCCAGCCACAAAAATGTCATCAGAACTCTAAGGGTATGTCTACACTACCCCGCTAGTTCGAACTAGCGGGGTAATGTATGCATACCGCACTTGCTAATGAAGCCCGGGATTTGAATTTCCCGGGTTCATTAGCATAAGCGGGGAGCCGCCATTGTTAAATCCCCGCTGCTTCGAACCCCGTGCAGCACGGCTACACGGGGCTCGAACTAGGTAGTTCGGACTAGGTGCCTATTCCGAACTACCGTTATTCCTCGTGAAACGAGGTGTACCGGTAGTTCGGAATAGGCACCCTAGTCCGAACTACCTAGTTCGAGCCCCGTGTAGCCCCGCTGCACGGGGTTCGAAGCAGCGGGGATTTAACAATGGCGGCTCCCCGCTTATGCTAATGAACCCGGGAAATTCAAATCCCGGGCTTCATTAGCAAGTGCGGTATGCATACATTACCCTCCTAGTTCGAACTAGGAGGGTAGTGTAGACATACCCTAAGTAATTAGTTTCCAAGTTGGCTACCTGAACAGACAGTATGAAAAATGGGCATGACAATTGAACCCCTAGAAGAAGCTTTGCCTGCATCCTGCCTTACACTACCACCGGCTGTGTTGCAGTTGATCTGTTGACAGAGCAGAGCAATTTTCATCATTCATTTAGGAACTTTCCCTAGGACTAAAATAACATAAGCAACTCATGACTGGGCCATTAAAGCACAGCTGTGAGTGGGGGCCATGCAATGTGATCCCTTCCCAGTAGAGTTGCTAATGTTCAGTTATTCTGTGTAATCTGTGCCATCCTTCAGGACAGTCAGCGTGCCCAACCTGTGTCATAGGCTTGAGTTGGGAGAGCAGTGCCTCAGCGCTGGGACAATGTGCTTTTCAGAAAGGATGTCTGAAAGGAGCAGATGTTGGATTATCTGTAACCCTTGTGTAGGTACAGAGCCTGGCTCAATCTGGCCCTGATATAATCTATGTTTGGTTCATTTCTTTTGCTCTGGATATGTGAGAAAAATACAGGTTGAACCTCTTTAGACCGGCATCCTCAGGATCTGACCAGTGCTGAACCAGAGAATTTGCCAAACCACAATATTGGCAAACCAGCATTACCAGCACTTCCACTGCTTACTTGGCTCTTAGAAGACATTTAAGGGTACATTAGCGCTAACTAACATCACAGAACATGGAGAGGCAGGACTAGTGGCTCTAAACAAACTTTATGAGACCTCAAGAAACTTGGCCACAGTCATGATAAGTGGGCATCTGGCTAACTAAAATAATGCTTGACCACGGATGTTGCCAGACCAGAGAGTTTCAACATGTACTATTGTTTTGTATAAAATAAAATTACATTGTCATGGTGCATTTTCATTAAATGAAACTCTTCTGAAGTTTCCATGCAGCTGGTAAAGTAAAATATGCTGATTTTATGTAAAAGGCATGACAGTAAGTTATTTATAAAAAGATCTATAAATGTCTGTCCAACATGCTTTCTCATTTTCATTTGCCATCGAACTCTTTACTTATGTAAATTACAGCAAGCAGATGTTAAGTAAGTCTGTGTTTCTCTGGAATACTAATACAATTCTGCTGCCTGTAGAAAGAGCTGTTTCCAAAAGAAAAATCAATATAATACTCCAGTGTGTCAGATAAAAAACAAAATACCATGCAGAATATGTTAAGTATTTGGGAGTCGAGCTGTCCTGATGGCCCATGGGTAGTGTTATCATTAGCACTCAACTAGTGAATTATCTGAGTGCCATTTAAAGCCAGACTCTTACCAAGTCCAGGCAACAAAGGACAAGGAGCCTTGGAGGGATAAAACTCAGTGTGAAGTGAAACCAGGGTGGGAGAAATGAAATTGCTCTGCCCTGAATTATTAAGGGAAATCTACCTTATCACAGAGAACTTATGCAAAGTGATATGTATGGAAGTCCCACATAAACCCTTTATTGGGATTCAGATGGTGCACAGAGCCTTTTTCTGGCTCTGTGCACTGAGATGATTTGCTTTTGTATTTATAATGGTACCAAGTAGAAAAATAAATGGACTGAATATGTAATTTTGTACAAGATTTAAAACACAGATTGACATCGGTGCATGGTGCTAGATGTTCAGCACTTGTGATAATTAGGTGTTTATTTTTGAAAATCTTGCTGTTTTTATTTTTTCCCCTTAAAAGCATAATAAGTGAGGGTGCTGAAGGACATTATGAAACTTCCTTTCCCACACCATATCTCTCTAATTCTCTTTGACTGAAAACACTTTGGAGAGTAGACAAGGACTACCAGTGTGGACCCACGCAGTACATAAGACATTGGGTCCCAAAGGAAGACAGCTGAACTGGAATTCATTTCCACCCTAACATGATTAGCCTCATTTACACAAGTATCTTCTTTCTTTTTCTGTGTGTATATATATTTATACACACACCCAAACATCTGTAAATTCCACTTCAGTTCATCTAATGAAATGGATTTTACCCACGAAATAAATATGTTAATCTCTAAAACCTCACAGGATTCCCCGTTGCTTTTAGATACTGACTAAAACAGCTGGGACTAGATCTCTGGTCACTGCGTTGATTAATTTATATTATATACATGAATGAAGGTTGTGTCCATGGTGCAGCTTTATGTCGGGAAAGACAGAAACATTCTAATGATAGTAAATTTGGATAGGAAAAAAATCTGTTGAGAAACCAGTAGCTCTCACGATTATAAACTAGTATGCTGAATCACTTGCCTCAGACTGCACCAGGTGACATGTATACTTGTACATGGGTAGCGACACTGATGAATTAGAACTGAATGTAGGAGGATGGAAAGGCAAAATAACAACAGAAAGGGGGACAAAAGTTTTACTGTACCTTACAAATTTCACTCCATTGACCTGGGCCATTTACATTGACAGCCCGAACTTTAAAGAGATACTCTGTGTTTGGCTCCAGATTATGTAATTCAAGGTTCTGATTCATTATCCCATGCAGTTCTCCGGCTAATTGTGTCTGGACAATGTTATCAGGACTAATAGAAACAACTTCATAGAACTCTACGTCAAAGAAATCCACGTCTTCAGTGGGACACGTCCAGTAAATCTATGGAGAAATAAGATCTACATTGTGCAATTATATGTTCTTTGTTTTATGTTCTTACATTTTCATTTTTTGTGTGGGTGAAAATAGGTCACCATGGTTTCTCACTTAATTGTTAGTGTTGATTCTGCATTTAAAAATAAAAACTCAGCTAAAAAGCACATAATTTAATTAATGGCAATGGCTTTTGGGGTCATAGTTTGGAAAATATTAGGCAACTTCTGCAAAGTTCAGAACACCCTCATCTCCCACACTGAAATTAATTTCTGGTGAAGGCATTTAATATTTTCCATGCATCATTTGGCATCCCATCTAACTAAATAAACTCCTAATAGATGCTGAGGCCCAATTTATATTTCAAATATAAAATTAAAAAAAATAATAAAAATTTAAAAAAATCACTCAAATAGGATCAAATTTTGAGATTTGATGAGCAAAACATAACTTGATTTTGTATGTGTCACACAACATACAATGCCTTATTATGCCAACATTAAATGTTCAAATAAAACATTTATTTCCTTTGTACTGGAATTTACATGTGGTAAATACTTTTAATGGCTCCTTTTAGCACAATGTTAATAGTTTAGGATTCAGTGTCTTATTTATTATATCACAATGAACTTTATCAGTGTCACTTATTCACTAAATAAAAATGGTTTAATCTATATTAAAAGGAAAACTAGATTGGTTAAAACAGGACCTAATCTACATATATTTTTAGTACTTATAAGTCTTACTTTGGCTGTTCTTGGATACACAAGTGTCTGGTAGATGATAACTAGGCCTGGAAACAGAGCTGATCCATTGTGGTATGGCTCTGGACTCTGAGTGCTTTGATGGTTTCTTTCTTTTCTTGAAATTTGAGTAGATGCATCCCAAAATGTAAACATTTCATTACGTTCTTTATAATGAGGGGGAGGTGTGGAACTTGATCTTCTAGATATTTCTTTCTTCATCATAGTTGATTCATACTGTGAATTTAAGGTTGATAAAGATGGACTTCGGAACACACTTGTATGCCTTTCTGTGTGGGTACTGGAAATTTTCCTAGGAACCATTATGTCTGAATTACAGGGATAAGGAGCTTTGTTTGCTTTATCAGCTGATTGCTTCATTCTAACAGGTGTTTGAAAAAGGTCATGCATGTTGGCTGAAAGTTCTTCAAAGTTGAGTTTTAGGTTCTGAATAGGATCTTCTCTGAGTCGAGCACTGGGCTGATAAATATTAGCAATTGCATCTTCTATTTCATTTACCAAAACGTTTGCAGATTGAAGAAATGCAATCTGGTTTTCCTCTTTCAAAGCCTCCTTAGAATACTGAATAAGGCTGTCCATTTGAGAGATTTTTCTGGATGTGTGAGTCACGTACTCTAGAATTCCCTTCTCTTTTTTAAGTTCAATGTTCTCAAGAAATTCCGTCATCTCCTTCTCTTGTTCACGGATAATATTCCGTAATTTGAGGAATCCATTTCTGATTTCTTTCCTTTTAGTTTCCTTGTAGGACTTAAAATTGTTTTTTAGCAAAAGCATTTCCATTAGGTCATTATCAACCCCATATCGGACTGTAAAACAAAATCAATAATTTCAAATATTGAAATTGAAACAATAATTTCAACATCACATTGAAATTCTGTGTAGTAACAGGACTCAAGATGGTCTAGTAGAGCACAGAGGGACTTCAGGATTGTTAGGACATAAGACAGGGAATCAGAATTGATATTCTACTCTCAGCTGTGCCACTACTTGCAAAGTTCCCTTCTTATCAAGGCCAAAATTTTCACAGTTGAGTGGATAAAAATTAGGAACCTTATGTGATCTAATGTTGAGGGGAGTGAGAGGTCAACATTTCTGAAAATTAGGCAGCACTTCTTTAGATGCCAAAGTGGGGATTTAGATGCATACATTTATATATCCAAATTCTAAAATTTTGGCCTCATCGTCTTAGTGCCTCAATTTGATCTTCTGTAAAATAGATATGATAATACTTATCTACTTTACATCAGATATATCAAATCTTAACTGATGAGTGATCATAAAGCCCAATTGATCTTTGTGAGATTTGCTATGTTAATGCAAAGTATTTCTTATTACGAAAACTATGTTAGCAGCAGCAGTTATCTAAGTATCTTGTTTTGGTGTTTTTATGCTGCATCCCGGAGTTTTCAAGTATTGTTAGTTAGCCATGCAACTCCCATTGAATTTAGAAAATGGTGTCAGGGTAATATCCTGGTTAAAAAGTTTATAAACATGAATTGAACTGTAAGCAGAAAGGAAAAGAAGAGGATTCTGGGAAAGGGCCCAATGAGAAAACCATAACTGTGAGAGGCATATAGTATCTAGTCTTATAGGCAAAGGGAATTGATTAATGGAGGGGAATGACAGATGAGAATTTGATGAGGGGGTATGCTGAGGATTATGAGGTAGATGGAGGGTGATGCAAGGAACTGTAGGAAGGTGGGAAATCCATAAACTCTTATGCACCATAGTCTAACCCCTTTGTGGTACTTTGGCAGTGTAAGGATGCTTCAGCTGTATAGCCCCCAGTATGAGAGAATTAGCTAGCTCTGGAGCACCCCATCACAGAAAGCATATCTGGGGCAGAGAGCATTCCCATAGCACTATTGAACTCCATTAATTCCTGACTGGGTTTAGAGCACCCAGGCATGATATGCTAATGATAACAACAATGACACTTTATACTGATATCAGTCATTGTACATTCTTTTGGTGGGTGTTAATGTGCTTTAAACTTGTGACACTCCCTATATTTATATGAAATTTGCAAAGAACTTCATTAAAAGAGTTGTGGTTGAAAGTGTGTTTCAGGGAGTCCAGCTGAAACAATATCACTCCTCCCTTACAAAAACCACACCACCAATTAAAAAATGACAAACAGCGGAGTTTTTAAAAACAGTGCAAGCAAGCAGAAAAGCAGAAACAGGAACCTTTTTTAAACTTGGCAATAGCACTGAAGAGTGAAGCAGCCTCCTTTGAACAAGCCAGCGGCAAGGGTAGAGTTTCATGATCGTTGTGCAGTGTGTCCTTGCAGAATTGACAGATTAGCTCATGGTCATCGAGACAGTAGCCAGAGAGGTTTGAATGGGGATGGAACAAACAACAGCTCTCGCCTTGTTCTTCTTGGTAGGCTTTGGTAAATATGTGATCTTGATGGCTGACCTCGCTGTGATATAACCTTAGACACTCATTACAAAAATTCATTCGACATGTAAGACATCTCTTGGATGCCTTCTTTGTCTTCTCTTTGCAAAGTTGACAATAGATTGATGCTCGGGTTTTGTCAAATCTCCACCTCAGAAAGCCATGTCTGCGCATGTATCTCCTAGCTAGTTTGGCTCTCAAATAATTCATGTTCAGCTGTATTTTATTAGTGTAAGGGAGGCAGTGTGCTTTCACACACACTGGGCATATGATGATGAAGAAGTTCTCAGTTACTTCAGCCTGGGCTTTTCTTTTATCTATACACTTCTCACAAATGCAGTGGTTGCATGGCAGCATAAATGGGTAGAGATATAGTTGTTTACACAATGGACAAGTGAGCTGGTCACGAAAAGCATGTCCTGATGCATCTCTCTCCAGTGTAATGATTGATGTGTCACTTTTACTTCGAAACCTTGGTAAGGCAACTTTTGAACTGAAAAATAACCCCCCCCAAAATGGATTCTCGGTAAGAAACAGATTCTAATGCACATGGTCATGTTGTACAACCCCATCAATTTCTATTTTCCCCAAGATTTTTATTTAAAGAAACAGGTTACGACTGTGCTTTCTTCTGCCAGCAGTACATGCAATGAGCATTTCTGTTCACAGTAATAGTTGCATATTGGTTTGTACAGTGTATATGAAGCTGCCTGTTTTATTTTGCAAGATATTCCTTTTGCCATTACCAACCACAAGTGTTGCAGCTGTTACACAAACATCACTAGCAAACACCTGTATTTAATTTCATCTCTTTTTCTTGTTTATATGCTTTGCATGTTAAATTATAATGAGTTGTTATACATGTGAATAGTAAAATAAAAAGGTACCTCAACAACTGCATCTAACTGTAGTTTGACTTACAAGGAGAATCAAAGTCAGTGTTATAATGGCACCTTATTGCCAACTCAAGATTCTTTGTGGACAAAAGTTTAAAAAGTGAGTTGGGTGTTTTAAAGTTTTCAATGCCTGACTTGGGATGCCTTAAAAAAGCCTGATTTTCAGAAAGTGCTCTGTAAGTCAGGCTATGTCTAATGTGTATCCAGCAGGGCACTTGGAATCTTCCTGGTCACTTTTGAAAAACTTGGCCAACTGTCTCTCCACGATCATTCCAATGAAGATGACATAAGCTCAGTTGGTTAATATAGTCACTAGAACGATGAGATAAAATTGCTGCCTCATCATTCAGTCTTTGCTGTAGACTTGGCTGTGGCTTTGTACCCACTCCCTGCTTCTCTAATGCTGCCTTCACTCCTACTTTTCTTTCCTCTCCATGCTTGTTGCTGCTGTTTAATCCCATATTCCAAAGCTCCTCACACACTCCCACATTGCTGCTTCTCCCCCTCGGCTGTTGCCTGTCCCCTCCTGCATGTATCAATTATTGTGTGTAATATCATAAATAAACAGATTCTTCATAGTACTGCCCTTTCAGAGCCAGAGTTACATATTTTAAAGGCAAGAATCACTTACGTGTCATGTAGCTCAGCAGATCAATCAGTTTTTTTCTCTACTCGCAGTCTAACTTTTTATTGTTACTAGCACTACTTTGGTCTGGCTACAATTTCTCAGAGCCATATCTCCCCCTCCCCCCATTGTGGTTCCTTAATGTAATCTATGCTTGGTGCTGTACGTATTTCAATTCCCTCCCCTCAAAACTAGCATCATCCCATCTTTTTACTTTTTTGAGAAGATTTTTTATGCAATTGACTCTTCATTTTCCTCTACTCCCATACCTTGCCCACCATTTTCTATTAGAGTACATTTAGACTATGGGATAAAGTAAAATTAATATACACAACTTCAGGTACATTAATTGCGTAGCTGAGGTTGAAGTACCTTAACTCAACTTTTGGCGCTGTCTACACAGCAGGAAGTTGAAGCGAGACTGTTCTCCCTTCGACTTCTCTTACTTCTTGTGAAAGCAGGGCACCGGCATTGACTGGACCATCCCTCACAGTCCAAATTGGCTGTCTTAACGTGACATGCTAATTCGAACCCTGGAAGACTGACAGCGGCAGCTTCGATCTTCCTCTAGAGTACACATACCCTCAGTCAGCATTTTTCTCTTACATCAGACTTCATATGCCTCTTTCGAAAGCATGTGTCCCATCTCACTGCACACTCCTCTCTTTCATTTTCTCGGGCTTTCACTCACTTAGGCTACGTCTAGACTGCCTAAAAAGCTACTTCTTTTGAAAAAGCCTCTTTCAAAAAAGAGCGTGTAGATTACAACCATTTCTTTTTCAAAAAAGCAAGCCGCCTTTTTGAAAGAGAGCATCCAGACTACCTGGATGCTCTCTTTCGAAAAAGCACAGTTTGTATTACATAGAGCCTTTTTTTGAAAGAGCACTTTCAAAAAAAGGCGTTATTCCTTATGAAACGAGGTTTACCATGGTTGAAAAAAAAACCTGCGTTCTTTCAATTTATTGTTGAAATAATGAGGCAGTAATCTAGATGCAGATAAAGATTTTTTGAAAAAAGGCCACTTTTTTCGAAAAATCCCTGCAGTCTAGACACACCTTAGAGCTGGGGGGAATTTGTTAAAATCCAAACAGTTCACAAAACAGAGTCCTTTTCATAGAATTTTCAGCCTTGAATAAATTTCAGGAAAAAAGTTTTGAAAAATTGTCAAACCATTTTGATATTTTCTAAATGAAAAATTCTAATTGCCCACTTCAAAATATCTTTTTTTTTTAAATCTATAGCTTAAAGAGCAACAGCAAAATGGAGCATTTTGAAATGATGGAAATAAAACATTTCATTTGATCCAAATTGAAATAAAAGTTCAGGGTGTGAGTTTGGTTTTGGGGTACACAGATGATTTTTTAAATTTTCCTCCTGATTCAGAATCATTCTTCCAATGCACTTACTGGTGTCGTCTTCTGGCTCTGGGAAGGTATGATGCATAGAGGGTATTCCTGCAGCATCTGCTTTCATAATATTGGCAGGTGGTGTTCTCTGAAGTACAGCAACAGCATTTGCAGTCTGGGTCATTTGAACAGGAGCAGCAGCACCAACGACAATTTGGATTCTCTGAACACGAGCAGTGACAACACTGGCAAGCTCTGCCTTCTGCATATGGGCAGGGGCAACAGCTACAATTCCGCTCATCAGTGAAGAAAAAACGCCAGCATGAACAGCATTCTTGATCAGTCCTTTGCAGTGGGGGGCAGCAACGGCAGCCTGGGCAACATGGCCAGCTGAGGCATAACATACTGACCATTGTTCCACAAAACACTGATCACTTTACACAGTAGCACTTTTTAAATAGCTTTGAGCTGGGGTAAATGGTTCTCATTCCAGTTAGGAATAATGATGTCACAAGGAGCTATTTAACAAAGGACAATGTAAGTGATGTGCTGATTACATCACGTTTATGTCACAATTACTAAGATCGACCTGTGCTGTTTCTTGTATTGGTACTAGCAGAATTGCATGTGAGCTAGCAGCAGCCACATCTCCCCACATCCAGTGGTGCTTATGAATTTCCAGCAGAAAAGTCTGAACTGTGCTGAAACTTTGGGAGCACCATAATATAAATGGAACGCAATATAAAATAAACACAAGTAACACTACACTGCTTGTATTATTCGTGACTTTATTGAAAGAAATCATTTGCCTCAGAATGTCTAAAGTACAGGCAGTCCC